CATGTCAAAAAGAAATATCACTAGGTGTCAGTCTATTTATTTATTTTATTTTTCCGGGGGGGGGGGGTAGCGCGTGTGCGTTGTATCATAAGGTCTGTCAATGAGTCAACTGGCGTAGATTCGATTCCCCGGTTGTACGTGACAAGGAGTAGGGTCGTCTTTCCAGCCTCGTGGGATTTCTCTTGGTCCTCTTGTTTCCTTCCACTGCTAAAGACCCCTACGCGCAAGCGAATTATTGAAATAAAATTGAACCATATGTTAGTCCCGATATGACCTAGTTTGTGTTGAGTGGACGTTAAACCCCATTTTGATGAGAGAAAAAGTAATGATGTCATGAATGACCAGCCTCTTGAAGATAAAAAAAACCCTGCTTAAATTAAAACTAGGTTTATTTCCAATGGAGTCCTTGGAGGAGGATCGGGCCATGTCATCATAAAAGCTGAAGAGTGAATATGACAATAAATAGTGAAATGTGTGTACACCATAAGGGATGTGAAGTACAAAGAGGTATGAAAGACATTAGAGTATACATATATAAACAAACTAAGACACGTGTTTGTTTTGTTAGCAAGTTTTGTTTAACATTTTTCTTTAAAGTGACAATGTTCTCTATTGATTTAAGTTGGTTTGGGAGTTCATTTAAGGCCTGAATCATTGAATAGTAAACAGCTGAATATTGGGTATTATTTTTACATTTTGGTACAACATAATAATTATAAATACTTGATCTAGTACTATATAGATGAGCATCCCTGACTAAGCGAAAATTGGCTTTCATGTACACCGGAGACCCACTATGAAAACTTTTGTGAACATGGTTCAATTTCAGTTGTTTGACTCTATTTTCTAGATTTAAACTATTTAGATCTTTATACAAAATTTGAAGTAACTGAATCGCTGGAGTCGTGTATGAATCGGGTATTTTTTTGTTGAATAATATGCGGTTTGTTCTTCCGCTTCTTGTTTAAGTCTGAGAACCGAGTTGAGCATGCGTAGTCTAAGTGGAATTGACTAAGAGCATTGTTTAATAATTTCCTAGTAGACTTTGTTAAAGACTTGTTATATCTAAGTTACTAAGTACAAATTTCCATCTGGTATTGACCGTTTTGATAATGATCAATATATAGACCCAAATATTGTACACTATCTGTTACTTGAATGACATGATCATTACACATTATTTCAAAACTACTGGTTTTCTTTAGTTTTCTGCTTGGACCAAATAACATACATTCAGTTTTACCTAAACGAAGGGATAATTTATTGTCTTCGAACCAATCTGAACAAGCCTTTATGGCTTCACTAAGTTTTACAGATTCCATGTCAGGAGTTGAATGAGAAAACAGGATGGCACTGTCGTCAGCACAAGTGGCAGGTATGCTAATAATCATGTCATTCACATAACAGGGGAACAACAAAGGGCCCGGGATGTTGCCCTGTGGAACACCACGAGAAATTCCAAGGGGTCTGAGAAAGTCAATGATACCCATCATATCGTATGATTAAGCAGATGATAGTTGGAACTGAATAACCATAGCTATCGAAATGGGAAGCCACGGTGGATCATTGAGTAATACAGTGTTTGGTCTTGATGCCATTCCCCGATTGTACGTGACAATAGGGTTGCCTGTCCAGCCTCGTGGGGTTTGTCCGCTTTCCTCCCACAGCTAGCGAATTATTGTAATAATTGAAATAGAATCTCTCTCTATCTCCCCCTCTCTCTCTCTCCCTCTCTCTCTCTCTCTCTCTCTCTCTCTCTCCCTCTCATCTTGATATTGGTCGAGAAAGTTACTCAGGATTTTCATACTGGGGTCTCCTTGTCAGGGTCTCCAATCCTGGGGTCTCCTTGTCAATGGAGGACCCTGACAAGGAAGAGCGCCTAGTCCTTCTGTTGAGACGTAAATTCAAGGTCTCGTTTAGAAGGTTCACGTAGTTGGAAACGCCGCTGTACGGGTCACCCTTACCTGAACATAATGATCATGGTACTCGTTGGCAAGATAAACTTTAAAGGGACATTATGGGATATGAGAAAAAGAGCTGACAGTTTTCGATATAACGGTTAAAACATAGATAACGTAAAGAGAGAGAGAGAGATGGGGTTTAACGTCCACTCGACACAAACTAGGTCATTTCGGGACTAACATATGGTTTAATTTTTATTTACATAATTCGCTTGCGCGCAGGGGTCTTTAGCAGTGGGAGGAAACCGGAGGCCCCGGAGAAAACCCACGAGGTTGGACAGGCGACCCTACTCCTTGCCACGTACAACCGGGGATTCGAAACCACGCCAGTCGACTCAATGACAGACTTTATGATACAGCGCGCGCACGCTAACCATTCAGCCATCCAACCCCCCCTAACGTAAAGAGAACATGCTGAAAATTTCAGTCATATCGCTCCACTCTAAACCGATATATAAGCGATTGAATTTTAGGCCTAGCCTCGATCATCATTACTAAAGTCGGTACGATAAAAAGCAAAGCCTAGATTATCCATTTTGACGTTGACAGAATGTATTCAAATCCAGTTAATATCGCAGGCTAGCGATGACATCGAGAGTTGATTATGGTCTAGATAAGTTAATTAATGTCTAATTAATAATTTAGAAAACATTTCAGGCCTAAAGAAAGACCTGCAATAGGTAGATTTAGCTCTTGCATAATGTATGTTTAAATCGATCCACACCTGCGCAATATATTTTATTATCACAGTTTAAAGGGGCAATGAATCGATGTAAGCCATGCAGCACAATGATTTGTTGTCATCAATCGGTTTAGAAATGTTGCCTGTTAAAGGGGCTAAATCTCTAATATTTTGCACCTAGAAATCGACACAAAATGAAATGAAATGGGGTTTAACGTCCTACTGTTCTGCTCCTAACCTGGGCTAATGAAGACGGGCATATGTCATGCAGTGTGCTATGAGGGAAATTTTTCCCGGGCAGCGGCGCTACGACCTACTCTTATATCGAATTCCAACTGCCAAGGGATCTTTTACGTGCACGCCAATGTGTACACGGGACCTCGGTTTTTCGTCCCATCCGAACGACTAGACAGCTGTCCTTTTCAGGCCCTCCGAAATCGACACAAATGAGTAGCAACGCATATAATACTGTAATATGAATGTATATAATCTGTTTTTACTTTAATTTCTAATCAATTATGTTCGACGAAATACGCCAGAAGTCTCAATCGAATGGCAATCTCTAGCGTCTGGTTATTTCAGTCTACACAGATAGTATTTATTGCGCATGCTCTCCAGATAGGTATATGTCGTCACCGTTTGACATGACTTGTGGAATATGTCTAGCCTCGTTTTTCGAGTCCATTATTACAAATAGCGCTTAAACGCATTATGGTACACGATTCGTGTACCAATGGTAAAATGTTTATTTTGTCTTAAATATTGGATATCAGACGCCCATCTTTTCCTGGTAAGAGCACAACATCAATATTGATTTAAATTGACAAACAATTCGTGTTTTTAATTTTGAAAATTTTAGATGATATTGAGTTAGAGACTTAGCTACTTTAAGCTTAAAGGGACAATAACACTCTTGCTGGCATGACAGTGACAGCCCCAGAAAATAAAAAAATAGCCTTATCCTAAGTACTAGATGTGTTAGTGTCCTACCTGTTGTGTAAATTATCCATTAAATCCTATTTTACTTGTCCAAAGGGTTCAAAAATATTTTTAAATCCAAGTCACATTTGAAAAGCTTTACGTCAGGTTTTTCAAACCATTTAGTTGAATTTTTCCAATTTTTTAAATTAGGTGTGTTAAGATGAAATTTGTATCATCAATTAATTGGAATATTGTAAAATAGTACAATTTGTTGACCAGAATAAAGATTGGGACATATTATTCAGTTACAACAAGAGTGGTATTGAGCCTTTAAGCAATTGAAATATATATATATTTAACAATGCCTATTGATAAAATGTAACTATTACTTTTTACAACCCTGTCAAGCTTTTGTTGAGGGATTTTATGTGTTGCACCTATATCACCCCGCACTATCCAACAAGTACACAATATTACGTTATATTGTATAATACAACACGTACTGGATTAAACATACATTATGCAAGCGCTAAATCTGCCTATTGCAGGTCTTTGTTTTGACCTGAAGTGTTATCTAAATTATTAATTAGACATTAATTAACTTAGTCAGACCATAATCAACTCTCCGGCCGTGTCATGGGATTTCTCCGATATTAAATAGATTAGAACGGTTCAGTCATATTTTAATTTAATTTAAAAATGGAATAATGTATCTTTAAGGCTCTGCTAGCCCTAAGCCACATTTCGATATGTGGCCTGAAAACTCAGTAATTTGGGTTCACCGATAAAAGGAAGAAAGTTAAATTTAAGAACAGAAAATTTATTACAAAAAATTCAGGACTTTTTTTGTGTGTGGCCTGGAATTTGGGCTGGCCTTTGGGCACGTGCCTTATTTGTCCTGAATGGTGATGTCTCTTGTTCAAAGCAACAAGGGAATAGCGGTGACCCACTTTTACCAGGGCTGTCTAGGGTTCGATTCCGATGTTGGTCGAGAAAATTCCCCGAGGCCTTCCAGCATGGTTTCGCCTTTTCAGTGGTGCAGAACGGGAGGACGGGGAAGGGTCCATCTAGTATATAGTCGTTCCGGTAGAACGAAAAACTGGACCCCCATGTACACGTTGACGTGCAGGCAAAAGAACCACTAACAGTTCGAAATCATAGCGCTGCTGTCCGGGCAAAATTTCCTTCATAGTATAATGTATGACCCATGCCCATCTTTATTAGCCCAGTCGGTCCAGAAAAGTATGATTTTAACCCCATTTGATTTGATTTGATTTCAAGGCTATAAGGAATGGACACCAATTGAGTATGCGTGTTGTTACGATGTGCACTTATAAACTCTCGGATAAAATAAAATTAATTTTTGATTTTCAAATTAAGTCCACACAAAAGTTATTGCAAAGATTAATTTGAATAAAAATTCTACAAAAACTTACCTCAATTCGTTTGCTTTTTTCTCCGTAATTTGTTTTCTTTGAGTTTTGAATTCGACAACAGAAGTTCACGCGTGTGTGTTTGTGTGTGTGTTGACTCTCTTTCTTGATAACACCACAAATAAACTTACAACTTCTCGCAGTCAGTTGCCGCAAATATTTTAACCCTGTGAAACTCGACACCCCATAACTGTTCGCGTTTTCAGTCTATTAACAGTCGGTTATAGCTGCTGTCAGTGCCCTTGCTGCGGTGCTTTATGGGACACAATTTAAAGATGCGCGCTTATGCAAAAATGAAATGAAAAGGGGTTTAACCGGGATAATGGAATAAAAGGAAATGGGGTTTAAAGTCCTACTTTTCTGCTCCGACTGGGCTTATGAAGACGGTCATACGCCATACAGCGTGCTATGAGGGAAATTTTGCCCTGAAGCGGCACTCATGGCCTCGATCTTATATCGAATTCTAACTGTGCCAAGGGATCTTTTACGTGCATGCCAATGTATACACGGGAACTCGGTTTTTCGCACCCTCCGAACGACTAGACAACTGTCCTTGTCAGGCCCCCCGTCCTGCACCACTGGTAAGAGGAAACCACGTGGGAACCGGGCTAATGAAGACGGATATACACCATGCAATGTGCTATTATATTGCGGACAATTTTGCGCCGTTTTTGGGTTGTTTTTTTTTTTTTTTTTTGCACAATGATGTAATGGCCGCCAGTTATACAATAGGGACCATAATTTTATGGTGAAACCAGGAGCCAAACCCGCGGGTACTGACTCAAAACCACGTGCGATTCAGTCCCTATAGGTCCTTAAAATTAGCGTCGTGTAGGGCCATCCTGCACTTTATGTGTTTATTTAGCGGTCCTTACGGGTCCCTATATACCGTCTCAGAAAGAAAAGGGTTTACAAATTGAAATTATACGAATTACAATAATTTTCGCGCCTTGCTACCTTTGCTTTTTGATATATTTCAACTTCTGGCTTCCTGTTTATTCCTCTCTCCCCCCCCCCCTCTCTCTCTCTCTCTCTCTCGCTAGTTATTTCTCTCTCAGAATTGCCGTACATACCGTATTAAACAAGAGAATTCGAGTTGGCTTCACGGTGACCCCTTCTACTTTAACCCTGAAACTGTTTTTATTATAAACATTGCAATTTATCAAGGGGTCAACATTGGGTCTGTCTGTGAACTTTGACCAGTTAAGACATCAGAAACCGCGGCCCAATTAAATGAAGCTACAATATATTTTACTGCATGGCAGATCATGTATATATTATAGTGTGAATCGTGACGAAACGACTAATCTCTAGTGAATTATGGAAATGAAATGAAATGGGGTTTAACGTCCTACTGTTCTGCTCCTATACTGGGCTAATGAAGACGGGCATACGCCATATGTACAGTTTGCTATGAGGGAAATTTTGCCCGGGCAGCGGCACTATCGCCTACTCTTATATCGAATTCCAACTGCCAAGGATCTTTTATGTGCATTCCAATGTATACGCGGGACCTCGGTTTTTTCGTATCATTCGAAGGACAAGACAGCTGTTCTTGTCATGCCCTCCGTTCTGCACGGTGAATTATATGGCGTATATATATAATATACATGTACTTTTAGAAACCCCTGCAGACCTTATAATTCTATGTTCTTTGTACTTTGTATTGTATGTTTTACCATACTCGTGTATTGACCATGTTGTTGTGTAATAAAGCATTATTATTATTACAACTACTGTTTTTCATAGAATTCGAGCAATGCCCGGTGGGCGATGATTGGCTTCCGCGCTGGTTTAATTAAACAAAAGACTATTACCGAATAATGGGCGGACATAGTAGGTGAAGGATGCCCGTCCGGTTTTAAGATACATGTAGTTTTAAATGATAAGACCAGCTCAATTTTTCGTCATAGATCACGAGAATTAAACAGGTCTAGTGCTGATCCAAACCCTAACCCTAACCCTGTACATCTAGCCCCAATGATTACCCTAACCCTAGCCTACAATCACGTGCCCTAACGTTATTTACATCTCAGATTTAGCCGGTTTTTAGACCCAGTCCGCTACTGATCAAATTCCTTCGATCTAGTCTACTACATGTTCCTTAGTTCTTCGTGGGGTCACGGTGGCAAGTGGGTAGGACGCTGGCTCGCTAGCCTGGAGGTCGGGTGCTCGATCCCTGCATTGGCCGAAAAGGTTCATCCAGATTTTTCGGCGTGATTCCCCCTTGTCAGTGATGCAGGACGGAGGGCCTGACAAGGGCAGCTGTCTAGTCGTTCGGATATGAGACGAAAAACCATAGGACAGTATATAGGACGTTAAAAACCTTATTCATTTCATTAGTTCTTTAACATGTGAGAGTTGGGTGACCGAATGGTTAGCGCGTGTGCGTTGTAAGGTTTGTCATTGAGTCAACTGGCGTAGTTTCGATTCCCCGGTTGTACGGGAGAAGGATCGCCTGTACAAGCTCATGGGTTTTCTCCGGGTCCTCCAGTTTCCTCTCCTCCCACTGCTAAAGATCCCTACGCGCAAGCGAATTATTGAAATAAAATTGAACCATATATTAGTCCCGAAATGACCTAGTTTGTGTCGAGTGGACGTTAAACTCTCTCTCTCTCTCTCTCTCTCTCTCTATCTATCTCTTTCTCTCTCTCTCCACAAAAGTGATATCGCAGACAATCAGTCGTGTTATTTAATCCAATCAAATACCCCGGGCATTCACCACTCTGCTACACAACTGGCATATTACCCCCGGCATTCACCACTCTGCTACGCTGGCATATTACCCCGGGCATTCACCAGTCTGCTACACAACTGGCATATTACCCCGGACATTTACCGACTCTGCTACACCCCTGGTATATTACCCCGGGTATTCACCGACTCTGCTACACCCCTGGCAATATCCCGGGAATCCACCACTCTGCTACACAACTAGGACTACCCCGGACATTCACCACTCTCTTACACACTATACCGGGTATTCACCACTCTGCTACACCCCTAGCAAAATATCGGGTATTCGCCACTCTGCTACGCCACTGGCACTACCCAGGGCATTCACCGACTCTGCTACACCCCTAGCACTACCACGGGTATTCGCCACTCTGCTACACCCCTAGCACTATACGGGGTATTCACCACACTGCTACGTGCACTACCCAGGGCAATCACCACTCTGCTACACAATTGGCACTACCCAGGGCATTCACCAATCTGCTACACAACTGGCATATTACCTGGGCATTAACCACTGGCACTTGGAAGCGGGCTTCAAAAACCCTGGCATTCACCACTCTGCTATACACCAATGGCCCTGCGTCTTGTACGATCCATGTGCCGCTCCATAAAATAGGCCTACTATATTTTCGGTAGGGTTTTTCTTTACCGTATATCTATATGCTATGGGAGTATATTGTAGTTCGCCTGCAAATTAGTTTTAACTAACGCTTTTCTTCCCGAACCATTCCGAAATGAATGAAATGGGGCGAATCCAGGAATTTTTGGAGGAGAGGGTTTGCCCGGTATCTGAGACAATGTATCTTTGGAGGGGGGGGGGGGTCTCCCGGCCTTGAATCCTCTGAATCCGCCCCTGCTACTGTTCAGCTCTGATTGGACTACCAAAGGAGGGAACCATTTATGCATATTTTTATCGTTTAAAAAATTAGAACACCTGATTGTTTATCTACGTTTTGTTATATACCGTTAAAATAGGCTATTTTTAGCTCTCTTCAATTCAGATTCATTAAATTTGCTAACGTATTTGTCGTTACGTGTAACGAATTTTGAATATATTATGTCTAATTGCAGTTCAATACTTTCTATAAGGAAATAATAGTTTGTTAAGTTAGGTCAATAGGGAATATTAATCACACATATTGGTAAACAGTAGGCATAGTTACATGCTCAGTGGCATTTAGCGATAGAACATATTAAAATACAAAACACAATTTATATGGAAATACAATCATAGCAGAGCCGTTTTATATGGCAATGGTTTAGGCCTACTTGTCAGTGTTTTGTTGGTGTTTTTTCATCGCAAAATTATATTAAAAAATCTATCTTTATTTTTATTATTTTTTTTTTAAATAGAGAGGCCCTAATTTAGACTAGCCCCACTTTAAATTACCGGTATCATTTTTCAAGAAAATGGATGCAACTAATTGTATACATAATCCTAAGATTTCCTACAATTTTCTTTTAATCTCTTTAACCCACCAAAATTGATTGCCAGGGCAGTGGCTTTATATATGTGTTTTTGGCTTTTGATAAGAGAGCTAAATCAAATTTGGTGGCAACTATATCTAACTGAAACCCCTTAGATATACATGTAGTATACTGTTTGTATGAGTGTATTGAGTTGTCTATGTAAATGAAATTAAATGAAATGGGGTTTAACGTCCTACTGTTTTGCTCCGAACTGGGCTAATGAAGACGGGCATACGCCATACAGTGTGCTATGAGGGTAATTTTGCCCGGACAGCGGCACTACGGCCTACTCTTATATCGAATTCCAACTGTCAAGGGATCTTTTACGTGCACGCCAATGTGTACACGGGACCTCGGTTTTTCGTCTCATCCGAATGACTAGACAGCTGTCCTTGTCAGGCCCTCCGTCCTGCATAGTTGTCTATGTAATAATTATGTATTATTAAATGTATATGACCATGATGTCTAAGTGTATATGTATGCATGCTGTCCTTAATGGACGTTTTGATGCAATAAACATCTTATCTTATCTTATCTTATAATTATTAGTAGTGATAGCAAAAATAAACAATTTTCTCGACTCATAAAAGCTGTCTTTCTGGGAGCCTCATGTAGCCTAGCTATGTGACAAACTGTTGTCCACGGACCTACAAGTTCTTATTCCGACTCTAAAAATCAACAAGAAAAAGAAAATTTTCAAAAGGCTTTTGATTTTATTTGTGATGGAAACTTGCATTGATATTTTAAATGGAATATTTACAATATTAAATTGATTAGATCTAAATCGCATAGCCTATAGAAGTTTAGATCTAAATCGCATTGCCTATAAACGTTCAGGCCTATAGTTATAAATCGCATGGCCTATTAATTAGGTCCATGGCTTTAGGCCTAGGCCTATGACAAAAAAAAAAAAAAAGAAATAATAATAATAATTGTCCCGCCTCTTCAAACCGAAAATGTAACCAACTTTAAGTAACCAAATTATTTCAGATTAGATATTTATATTATGATAGTATGTGTAGTTTATCTGAAAAGATATCATGTTCATACGTCCATATAAATAACACAAACACGTTCAGCTAGCAGACGACACATTCCATTAATAAACAACATAACTCTCGTATAATCTCGTGACATCACGTTATACGCGAGAAGCTTATTCCTTGTTTTATAGAATGGTTTGATAATGGTAGGAATTCGTTTCACCTGATATTCCAAGCAGTTAACCTATTTCTGAACCCAGACTTACACTCGGCGGTCTTCAAACGGCTTTCACCATTGAACCGGGAGTACTATCAGCATTCCATTGACATATTTGTTTTGTACATGCACGCGCATTGAAATGTCAAATTATGCTTTCATCAATCGAATTTTGTGTGTATCTCTAGAAAGGGGTCAATGTGACAGATGTAGCATGTTTTGGATGTGCATTCAGAGGAGATAAGTGTACGGAATACGGGATATATATTATATGAATTAATACTAGTATTAGCCTATATCATATGGTGGAGCGGAAACTTGGACTAAATAACTATTTGTTTACGGAAGTGCTGCAATGTCATAGATAATGACAATTTCATGAGTGAACGAAGGGATATAAATTGTAAATATAGGAGTTTATTTTAACCAGGTATGGTATATTAGGTGTTATATCATGTTATAGTTTTTGTTTACTGTGGTATATAAACCAAGTACCTGTTGTGTTACAGCATGGTAATGTTTTTGTGTCGAATAGTAGGCTACTTTTACTTTACTGGGAGCAGAGATGGTGTGGGTCAGAAAGTGGGCCTAATTAAGGCACTGCTCCGTAACCTGGAAGTCCCTGATTTGATTCCGGTGGGGGGAGCCATTGTGGCTAAGTGGGTAAGATGCTGGCTCGCTAAGTACATGTAGGAGGTTGCGTGTTCGAGGTTTCTCCTTGTCATGTGTGGTGAAGGACGGAGGATCTGACAAGGACAGCTGTCTATTCTAGTCGTTTGGTTGGGATGAAAAAACGATGTCCCATGTATACATTGGCATGCACGAAAAAAGTCCCCTTGGCAGTTGGAATTGGATATAAGAGTAGACCATAGTGCCCCTGCCCCGGCAAAATTTCCCTCATAACACACTGTATGGCGTATTCCCATCTTCATTAGCCGAGTAGTCAGTAAAGGAGCATAAACAATGATAAACCCCATTTCATTTCATTTGATTCCAGTGTTCACTAACAGTAAGTGCAGGAGGACCGCACTACACATAAAACAAAAATCTACAAGATAAACAGAAAATAGACATTGCACCAAATAAACAAATATCAAATCAAGTGAAAGAGATTTCCTAGAGATTTTCCAGCTCGGTTTTCTCTTGTCAGTGGTGCACTCAGTCTGGCATAAACCTGTCTTTATTAGCCAAATAACAGTGGGACGTTAATCAAACCCCATTTTTCTTTCTGGAAAACATTTGTTCTTCCCTGGAAAGCAAGCCTGGACATGAGACACCTATCACAGACAGACTTTGTCCGGCACAAATTATAACACAACATTTATATACAGGTCTTGACATAAGTTAGGCCTCCCTGTCATAGACAAATTATCATACAACGTTTATATACAAGCCTGGTAGGCCTCCCTGTCACAGACTTTGTCCAGTACAAATTATAAAATAACATATAAAGCTGGACATAAGGTAGTCATAGACTTTGTCAGACAGAAATTATAACACAATGTTTATATACAGGCCTTGACATAAGGAAGGCCTACCTGTCATAGACTTCGTCAGACACAAATTATAACACAATGTTTATATACAGGCCTTGACAAAAGGTAGGCCTACCTGTCATAGACTTCGTCAGACACAAATTATAACACAATGTTTATATACAGGCCTTGATCTATGTCAGGTACAAATTATCATACATCGTGTATATATATATACAAATCTTGACATCAGGATTTTCTGGCGTGGTTTGCCGTTGTCAGTGGTGCAGGACGGAGGGCCTGACAAGGACAGCTGTCTAGTTGTTTGGATGGGACGTAAAGCCATGAGTGTCCCATGTATGCATTGATGTGCACGTAAAAGATGGTGCGAAAAACCGAGATCCTGTGTATACAATGGTGTAAATATAAAAGATCCCTTGGCAGTTGGAATTTTGATATAAGGGTCGGCCTAGCGTCACTGTCCAAGCAAAATTTCCCACATCTTAACACACTGTATGGCGCATGCATATAAAAGATCCCTTGACAGTTGGAATTCGATATAAGGGTAGGCGTAGCAAAGTTTCCCACATCTTAACACACTGTAAGGCGTATGCCTGTTTTCATTAGTCCAGTTGAATCAGAACAATGGGATGTTAAACCACATTTCATTTCCTATTTTTCTGCATCAACAACATATACTCAAAGAACATGCAGTGTGACACAAGGGAAATGTTGTCATGACATCAACACTATGGTCTACTCTTATTTTCAGTTTCCACCAACTGTCATGGGAATCTTCGACATGCTGCCTATGGTATGCACAAGACCTAATTTTTTTTTTGTCCCATTTGAATGAATAGACACTTTTCCCTACCTGTCACTTTGTCCTGCATCATTTTAAAGGGAAAATATGTCTGGAAAATCATCAGACAACACAGGGATCAAACCCAAGATCTCCTGCTTAGTGGGCTAGTGTAATATACACACAGGAATCAAGGCTCACATGATATCATGTACAAACCAAGGTACATGTATATTAAGTGTGATATATTAAGTATGGTATATTAAGTGTGGTATTTGAAGTATGGTATATTAAGTGTGATATATTAAGTGTGGTATATTAAGTATGGTACATTTATATTAAGTGTGATATATTAAGTGTGGTATATTAAGTATGGTACATTTATATTAAGTGTGATATATTAAACATGGTATATTAAGTGTGGTATATTAAAGATACATTATGGGAGATTAGATTTAGATAAAGAGCTGGCAGTTCTCACTATAATAGTTAAAAACTAATTAATGCAAATTGATCCACTCTGAATCAAGATTTTAGCGATTGAATTTTGGGACTAGCCTCGATCATCATTACTAAAGTCTGTACGATAAAAAGCATTGTCTCGATTATCCATTTTTTGATTTAATTATCAATGAGCATTAAGCAGCAGATAGGATTCTAATCCAGAAAATATTGCAGGCCATCGATACCATCGAGAGTTGCTTATGGTCTGGACAAGCTAATTAATGTCTAATTAATAATTTAGATAACATTTCAAGCCCAAAGAAAGATGTGCAATATTAAGTGTGATATATTAAGTATGGTATATTAAGTGTAAGTTTGGTATATTAAGTATGGTATATTAAGTATGATATATTAAGTTTAAGTGTGGTATATTAAGTACACGTATGGTATATTATGTGTGGTATATGAAGTATGATAAACCTATTAATTTAAATGTTTATGTTAAATTAATGGTCTGTTGGTACAATGACTGGGGGACCATATCAACTGTCATTCATTGGCTTATTAGTTTAATTTTAATCTCTACCTTTCATTTTCTGTTATCTTCTTATTACGAGGCAGGTACACAGGTATGTACTTACCTTTTCGCGTACAACGTCCAGTGAGTCTAGTTCTTATATACATCTACATAGGGGAGTTTGAAATGGGACACAAGAGGTTTGGATTTTCTATTATCTCACTTTTAAACATTTTTAAACATACATTATGCAAGAGCTAAATATGCCTATTGCAGGTCTTTCTTTAGGCCATCTTAAGTGTTAGATTTTCACTGGATTTGAATCCAATCTGCTGCTCAACGCTCATTGATGATTAAATCCCAAAATGGATAATTGAGACTATGTTTTTTATCGTACTGACTTTAGTAATGATGATCGAGACTAGGCCTAACATTCAATCGCTAATATATCAGTTCAGGGTGGATCAATTTGACTGAAATTTTCAGCATATTCCCTTTACATTATCTAGTTTTTATCTATTATCTATTATAGTGAGAACTGCCAGCTCTTTATCAAATCTCCCATAATGCCCCCTTAAGAGGAAAATATCTTTTCTTATACAAAAGAATGCAATTCATCTGTGGTTTCTGTTAAGAATGTAGCGAATTGCCTATTTTATTTTTTAAAAGGATCAAATCTACAACTACATGTATATGTGAATAGGGCAGTATGAAAATAAGGTTAGATATACATGTCATTATACCACAGGGATATATCTTTATCTTCTATTATCTCTCTTTCTGAGAGGAAAATATTTGGTAAAATGTTATATGATTCAATATATCACAGAGAGAGAGAGAGAGAGAGAGAGAGAGAGAGAGAGAGAGGAGGTCCACACCACACAAAAACTAGGTAATTTTGGGACCATCATATGGTTCAATTTTACTTCAATAATTTGCTTGTGCGTAGGGGTCTTTAACAGTGGGAGGAAACTTGAGGACCCAGAGAAAACCCTTGAGATTTGACAGGCGACCCTACTCTTTATCACGTACAACCGGGGAATCGAAACCACACCATTTGACTCAATGACAGACTTTATGATACAACGCACATGCGCTAACCATTCGGCCATCCAACCCCCTAGAATATATCATGGGAACGTTTAAAAAGATAATATTGAAAACATTGCAGGTGTGTACCTATTCATTTTCTTTATGGAGTGCTGGTGGCTCAGTGATTATTGTGCTGGCTCTCTAACCAGACGGTTTCTGGGTTCGATCCCAGCGTTGACTGAGAAAGTTCCCTGGGTATTTTCAGCATTCTTTCAACTTGGTCGAAGATAGGGTCTGATGGGGAACAGCGTCTAGTCATTCGGATGGGATGAAAAAACCTTATTCTCTGTTTATACAATGTATGTTGGCATACATGTAAAAGAATCCTTGGCAGCTAAAATATCGAAACACCACTGAGCAGGCTAAATTTCCTTAATAACACAATTTGTTGGCTTGGTGCAGAACCGTACATTGTATATGAATCAACCCAATTTTATTTCATTTTCTTTTATTCATAACATTATTTAGTTGTATCAATTGACAATTTGGAAGAAACTATTATCTCTGAAATGCTATATTAGATACATTTATGTACATACATGTACATTTATTCTTAGAGAAGAATACAATTAATCAGATAGTATTTAGTGAAAACATCTGGATTTTAGTGAATGTCTTGAGTTAAAGGAATCTAAAGAATGTCCTTGTCACTGCCTCGCTGTAAGCTACTGTTTCCCTAGTTGCAATTATTAACCAATTACCGGTAGTCTAAAGTTGTAAAAGGAAGGTTTTTTTAGATAAAGGGTGTGTGGATGGCCAAATGGTTAATGTGTGTGCGTTGCATCATAAGGTCTATCATTGAGTCAACTGGCATGGTTTTGATTCCCTGATTGTACGTGACAAGGAGTAGGGTCTTCTGTCCAACCTCATAGATTATCTCCGGATCCTCCGGTTTGCTCCAACTGCTAACGACCCATACGTGCAAGCGAATTATTGAAATAAAATTGAACCAGGTACAGACAGGGAATCGAAACCACGCCTCTTGACTCAATGACAGACCTTATGTTTTCATTTCATTAGGAGTTACAACTGTTACCAATGTTTTTGTAATACAAAATGGGAGCCACAGTGGCTAAGTCGGTAAGGCGCAGGATTTTCCGACGTGGTTTCCCCTTGTCAGTGGTGTAGGACGGAGGGCCTGACAAGGACAGCTGTCTAGTCGTTCGGATGGTATGAAACACTGAGGTCCCAGGTATATATTGGCGTGCACGTAAAAGATCCCTTGGCAGCTGGAATTCGATATAAGAGTACATGTAGGCCATAGTGCAGCTGCCTGGGCAAAATTTCCCTCATAGCACACTGTATGCCCATCTTCATTAGCCCAGTATAGGAGCAGAACAGTAGGACATTAAAAACCATTTCATTTCGTTTCGTAACACAGAATATATCTACATGTAAAATAGAATATAGGTGTAGGATAAATTCTTTGAATGGCATTTAGTAATTGGAACATAATCAAATAACACACTATTTATGAATAACAATTACTATGGTTTATTTCACTGCGATGTTTCAACAAGATTTCACAAGTCGTTATCAAGCATATGACACAAAAAAACGACTTGTGAAATCTTGTTGAAACGTCGCAGTGAAATAAACCATAGTAATTGTTATCCATAAATAGTGTGTTATTCAACTACATAGATATAGGCCTACATCTAAGATATAGATCTACATGTAAGATATAGGCCTAGATGTAAGATATAGGCCTATATAGTGAATATGATGTAAATATAGTATGATATATGTAAGTTATTTCATATTATACATGTAATCTTATATACCTTGTAATTGTAATCTGATAAAACTGCTCATACATATAAATCATATCCTAGTCAGACACTCATATAATATATCCTGTCCCAGTCACTCATATAAATCCTATCCTAGTCAGTCCAGTGTTTATCATATATATACATACATATAATAAATGATGGCAGCTGACAACTTCAGTTACATACAGATCCTATCCTAGTCATACTGGGTGTTTGTATATGAACTTCAAAAAGATGAGAACTGACAGTATCACATTCATATAGATCCTATCCTAGTCAGACATACTTTTCACTGATATACATTACATGGTGGCTAATGAATAAGTGTAGAAAGATATCTACAAGATCCTATCCCACTCACCCAAATGTGTAAAGATCTTATCCCAGTCAGGTAAACATGAAAATGTCTTTAAAAGCATTGTACCAGTAGTAGGATCCTATCCCACCCAGACTTGTACATGTAAAATGAAACGAAATGACATGGGGTTTAATATCCTACTGTTCTGCTCAGAACTGGGCTAATGAAAACAGGCATACGCTCGCTACACAGTTTGTCTGCATATTTATCGGGTGTTCAAGATGGTACAAAATAAGTACATGTATGTGCTAATCATTCACCCCAACCTTCTCTAAAGTCAACAATTTGATATTATTATTATTATTATTATTATTATTACAACATATTTATAGTGCACCCTTTCATATAACATGTTCAGGGGGCACTTTACAAAGTGACAATATAATCATAAATAAACAACAAGATTATATACATTATATACAATTGTATACAGAGTCAGTTAAAAGCCTGATTAAATAAATGTGTTTTAAGTTGTTTTTTAAAAGAATATAGAGATGTACAACATCTTATACTAAATGGTAGATTATTCCATAAAACATAACTTTTAGTTTTACTGATTTGAATTTTTGTAGATAATTGTTAAAAATGATGGAGGAAGAAGAAGAAGATATGGTGGAGACGACTGGACCAGAGGTTAGTAGTTAAATATAGTTCTAAAGACACCTTGGAAAAAACGACGGCACAACTGGCTAAATATATATGAAAAACATTTGAATTTTGCAAAATAAAAACATGGCAAGTCCGACAGGATACAACCGTAGACAGAGACTAGTCGTAGAAACATAGAATGTTTTAAAATAAATAAAGAAAAACACATATATGGACTTATCAGCGAATACTCAATTGGGATCATGTGTTTTTTTGCATTTTCGTAGTGTGCCTTTCAAAATTCTGCGGCACACTTAGGAAGATCTCGGGTCACACCTATGTGCCGCGGCACACTGGTTGAGAATCACTGTTCTAAAGGATACTGAGAAATGAGACTGAAATTGCTCATAGGATGTGTCCAGAAAAAAGACAAAATGGTAAATATGAATGAAAAACCTTCATTGATGACCATGAAAGTTTTTTGTGTGTTTCTTCATATTCCATTAGCAATCCGATTAAAACACAGATTCTGTTTCGTTTTGTTTTTTATAGTTCAAAATTTCGTTTTACTTGTCTTTACTACACTAGGATCTGGAAGAGTTGTTATATTACCCGAGTTCTGGATATTGTGAGGGATTAGCCAATGAAACGGTCTGTTAAAACAAGTTTTTGGCGTGGGGTGCACAGAACTGTGGGTAACCCACTAGAAACATCTACGCTGTTTGGTTAATCAAATGTCTGGCGTTATAGGGTCAAAAGCCGCTCATATGACCTCTGATGTGGCCTTCCACTACAACCGGGGGTGAGGGGGAGAGTTGGATAGCCGAATGGTTAGCGCATGCGCTGCATCATAAGGTCTGTCATTGAGTCAACTGACGTGGTTTGGATGGCTGAATGGTTAGTGTGTGCTTGCTGTATCATAAAGTCTGTCATTGAGTCAACTGACGTGGTTTCGATTCCCCGGTTGTATGTGACAAGGAGTAGGGTCGCCTGTTCAACCTCGTGGGTTTTCTCCAGATCCTCTGGTTTCCTCCCACTGCTAAAGACCCCTACGCGCAAGCGAATTATTGAAGTAAAATTGAACCATATGATGGTCCCAAAATTACCTAGTTTGTGTCGAGTGGACGTTAAACCCCATTTCTCTCTATCTCCACTGACGTGGTTTTGATTTTCATGTTGTACGTGACAAGGAGTAGGGTCGCCTGTCCAACCTCGTGAGTTTTCTCCGGGTCCTCCGGTTTCCTCCCACTACTAGAGACCCATGCGCGCAAAAAAATTATTGAAATAAAATTGAACCATATGTTAGTCCCAAAATGATCTAGTTTGTGTCCAGTGGACATTAAAGGGATTGTCCTGATTTGAACAGAGTCTCAAAAATAAAAGTCTGAATACGTATGAAATTTAAGCGCCAAAATATAGAAGAATGGTGTATTTACCTTGCCTCAAAATTTCAGCTCAAAATATTGAGTCGTTTGGGCGTGAACGCCAAAACTGCTTATCCGGACACGTAACCCTTTTAAGATTTCGGGTAAATTTTTTCGTTGGATGGCCTGATAATCGATTCCTGTTCCGTCAAAGGTCTATACAATGAATGACCCATGTGCTGTACTTGATAACGAAAGGTAAATTTCACCTACACATTATTTTTATAAAATAAAAGTCTGGTTACATCCAGACACTGCATAATACAGCTTGGGGCACCAGTCTCCATTTCCAGATGAAGACTGACGGGTTTAAGTTGTTTGAAAACGTATCTCATATGTTGAGTTAGTTGCTCGCACCTAAGGTAGAGAATTTTAAGGGATTTTAACACAAAATTAAGCAGTTTTATTCTCCAAAATATTATCGGGATTGGCCCTTTAAACCCCATTTCTCTCTTTCTCTCTCAACTACAACTGGTCAGATCTTCACGTAGTAGAGGCCATCGAAAGTATAAAAAAAATGAAACGAAATATAGATGTGTATTTTAATTAGATTGATTCCATTAGCAGATTCACTAAAATCTTGTTTATATTTCAGAAAGAGCCGTTATATTTTCATTTTGATACGGAAAAGATTCATCCAGATATGCTTGAAGTAATGGAGTCAATGAAACGGGTTTGTACTCTTGTCAAAAATATATAATTATCAACTACAAACACAAGAATTTAAAAAAAGGAGATGAGTTAGTAACTTAAAGGAGCCAATTCCCTAACTCAGTATCATCCACAGTCTTCGACATTGCAAACAACCTTATTGGTCAATTTAAATCAACATTGATAATCGAGAATTTGTTAATTATCGTGACAGCGGTAACAATGACAATCGAGGCTACGGTGATTTTAAAATAAGGTTTTCTTGGCTTAGAGTGGAGCAATTCGACTTAAATATTCAGCATATCCTAGTTGTTAACTATTATAGTGAGAACTGTCAGCTCTTTATCTAATCTCCCATAATGTATGTTTAATGTATTGTTAACTATTATAGTGAGAACTGTCAGCTCTTTATCTAATCTCCCATAATGTATGTTTAATGTATTGTTAACTATTATAGTGAGAACTGTCAGCTCTTTATCTAATCTCCCATAATGTATGTTTAATGTATTGTTAACTATTATAGTGAGAACTGTCAGCTCTTTATCTAATCTCCCATAATGTATGTTTAATGTATTGTTAACTATTATAGTGAGAACTGTCAGCTCTTTATCTAATCTTCCATAATATATGTTTAATGTATTGTAATATTTTATGTTATTTTGTAGTTGGCTGAGAAAATGCTGTTTCATTGGAGAACTTTTCCCATTAACATACCCACACCACTAACAGAACATAAAGATAACCGTGTAGATCTGAAGGTGAGATTTTAATATCTTATATTTTCTGTTCATTAGATTAACCTAACGCTGGGGGGGGGGGGGGGGGAAAGAAGTGGGAGGGGGAGAGGGGGGAAAGAAGTGTGTGTGTGGGGGTGAGAGGTACCAGAGTAGATGTTCTTATTATCCTAAAATGGGCTAATGAAGACGGGCAAATGTCATACAGTGTGTCATGAGGGAAATTTTGCCTGGGCAGTGGTTTACTCTTATATCGAATTTCAACTGCCAAGGGATCTTTTACTTGCATGTATACACAGGGGACCTCATTTTTTGTCTCACCCGAACAACTAGACAGCTGTCCTCCATTCTGCACCACAAGGGGAAACCATGTCGGAAAATCCTGATGAACTTTCCCTTCCCATGCAGGGATCGAAAATACGACCTCCAGACTAGCTAGCCAGCCTCTTACCCACTTAGCCACCGTAGCTCCATATCCCATAGAATTGTAACCTCTGTAGTAATTAATGGGGGAATAACGCGTGGGCATCAGCATTTCTGTTATTGTCCAACCAAAATAGAAGCCTCATTTTTCAAACGGAAAAATTTGAGATTAAAAATAACTGAATGATAACCATTTTGTTTTTTAAGAAATATAATAATAATAATAATAATAATAAAAACTTTATTTAATGAGGCAACGTATTTAGTTTGCAAAAAAAAACAACAAAAAAACTAATCTTGCATAGGTCCCTCCTAAGCTACAAAGACATAATATATACATGTAATATCAGGATAAATTCAAAATCATTTGAAATGCAATAGCATTTTAAAGTGGGAAGTCACTCCCAAACTCCCAAACTACAAAACATATACATTATACAAGTAGAATATAGGAAGAACACTATAATTACACACAAAATAAGATGATCATATTTTGTCAGAATCTAATTACGAAGAGTGAGTTGTGTTTTAATTTTTTTGTTCAGTAGCTCCAACGTTTGATTAGTTGTTTTGTTTTTTTCAGAGTAAGACAGATTATAAAGATTTATTTATAGCTCCAACGTTTGATGAGTTAGATGAGGTGGCTCTTAATCAATTCGGTGGAATTAAACGGCTCAGTGATAAACAATTGGATAGTGTCTGGAAAAACGGGTACATTGTTAGATATACATTCACTTACAATTACTCATTTAGAATTAACTCAGTGTAAATGATACAGGGGCAGATCCAGAGGGGGGAAGGAGGGGGTGGGGGATCCTTTATTGTCCGATGATGGGATGGGATGGGATGATATAGGCATATGTGATATCGCAAATAATGCTTTGCATCGATGAAAATAAATCACAATGTCATCGTATTAATTCATAAAAATATTGTTATCTCTCTTTAAACAGCTCTGTGTGTATATATGTATATATGCCAAAATGATGATAGAGACCATGTATTTCTCAAAAAATTTCAAGGCATGGGCTGGGGGTGAGGGGTTCTCAGATACATTGTCTCAGGTACTGGGCAACCCTCCTCCAACAAAAATTCCTTGATCCCCCCCCCCCCCTGCAACAAGTGCTCATAAATCAGGATAGTACTAATTTTCTTAAAGTCTCTGGTCATTGTGATAGTGTTATCACTGTAACCCAGGTATCATTTAATTTTGTGTATTTAGCATTAGTTTCTTTCACGTTCATTTAATATCCAATCTTTGTTTAAAGATTAAATGGTACCCGCGTTACAGTTTATATACTTTCATTTAAAAGTACTCATTCAGAATTTAAAAGATGGTCGAATGTTTAGCTCATGCACGTTGTATCATAAGGTCGGTCATTGTGTCAACTGGCGTGGTTTCGATTCTCCGGTTGTACGTGACAAGGAGAAGGGTCTTCGGTTTCCTCCTACTGCTAAAGCATAAAGCATATGTTAGTTTTGAAATGACCTAGTTTGTGTTGAGTGGAGTTACCACCCCTCTCTCTCTCTCTCTCTCTCTTTAATCCCAGATTCGTACATGACAAGGAGTGAGTCGCTCGCCTAACCTTGTGGGTATTCTCTGGGTACTATGGTTTCCTGTTAAATATCCTTACGCACGAGCAATTTTATGAAATAGAAATAAACCATATGTTAGTCCCAAAATAACGTAGTTGTGTTGGCTATTAAAACATGTTTTCATATTTTTTCAGAGAATTTGAAGTCGATAGCATCCATTTTCCGGGACAGTTCCATAAATGGCGCCTGACGCAGCTGTTACAAAAAGGCACGGAACGAGCCCATAGTACACTCCTCGATGTAAGTATTTGGCCGTCTATAATTTACTTTGATCAAATTCAAATTTTGGTATCTTAGATTTTAAAGCTCCCTGGAAAAGCTTCATAAATTTTTTAGTTTTTTAGACAATGCAAGTAATTAAGTCAACATATTCTTTCCATAAGTATAACACGAACCCGAATGTCAATATTACCTGCAACAGGTGAATTTCAGTGTAAGTAATTTCCTCCGTAATTTCCATAAATAAACAATCCATGTCGTCATTTTAGTCCTACTGTTCATAGAAATATAGACTAGAATATGAGCAGAAGGACTAAAATGATGTCACAGATTGTTTATTGATGGAAAGTTACGACTAGGCCTACTTATGGAGAACGCTAAACATTCGGCCACCCACCCCCGTGCAAGATATAAAAAACAAATGTCAAGTCAGTGCCAAGAAATGGTCATACATTTAATTAAACTGCATGCAGAGGAGACCTTCATTATCATAAATTTGAAGACATGATAAGAAGGAATGGTCTTACATATATTTGGATGCAGCAGATCAGAGGAGGCCAACAGAATCAGAATCAGACATTTGAAGACTAAAGGGGAGATAATTCTGGATACAATATGTTCTTTCCTATGAGAAGTTTTCTATCCCTCATCTTCTCGAAGAAAGCAGGGGAATGTTAAAATGGGTTCATTTGTCTATTGGGCCACTCATCTGTCTTTGTTTATCAGACCACTATTATAAATCTGTCTGCTTCTAATTTTACTTCTCAGCATTCGTATTTTACTGTGTTTTATTCAATAGATATGTTATTATATATTACAGGATACGGCCCTAGCTTTAAGGATAATGATTATAACGGCTAGAAACAGATTCATATCTCATTTCTTCTCTCTTAGTCAATCAGTACGAGGTTGGGCCACAGGACTCTGGAAATTATTAGGTATAAAAAAATTATTTTTAATATTTACCGGTAATAACTACAGTGGACTTTGTCACTGAATACAACAGCATATTGTATTGATCCCGTACGATGTTGAAAGTGAGTCCACTGTATTTCAAATGATGTAGTGTTGCCATAGAGACAAAAGCTGACATTTAGAGGTGGTAATATTACATGTCAAAATATATACAACAATGACAGCTCTAGACTTGTGTGTGTGTGCCCCCCTACAACCATTCGGATCAACTTAAAAATTTTGAAATTAGTGCATGTATTTTTATCAATCCTCTGACTGATTAGGAGCAGCCCCAACCTTAAAAAGGGGAATATGAAACAGTTTTCGAGTTTATTATTCTGTAGATTGTGATTTGAATATGTTGGAATTTGAAAGGTAATATGTTTAGTTGAATATTCACAATGACAACGCACAAGATCACACTGTAATTATTACTGGTGATAGTAATCCTTTTCCACTACATACTCCAAAATCTGGTTTCTTGTTGTGAATATTTGAAAATTTCATTCATCGGGGCTAACTGCTTTGTGATTTGTACACCCCCACCCTTCTAATAATGGAAAATCCTGGCACTACTTTTCAGCCTTAATCCTGTAAAAGCCATTCAATAATTTAATTTCTTTATTTTATGGGTTTTTTGTGTTTATTCCTGTTACAACCCATTCCTTCATTTAAATTTGTTTGTTTTCCATGTTTTTTTTTTTATTAAGATATATTTATTGGTATGCCATCTACAACGTTTGGTAACCTAGGGTTCAAAGTTCGTGAAGAACATATGCAGTATTTAGTAGCAGAATTAACCGTTAGAGTAAGTAACCGTTTTCTGTTCGATAAAAAATGAGCTATCACAATTTGTAGATATTCACCTGGTCCACTGAAATATTTGGCTTTTGTAACAAATATTTTATCTGTCCCAATCTTCATCTCCTCAGAATTAATTTGATATCCCATATTGATGTGGAAAGAAGGTCTATGTAAATCTGAGGATCTGTGTAGGCTACATTTAAACATATCTACAATAAAAATCGTTTGATATCATAAATGTATATAAACAAGTTCAGTTTTATACACCCACATGGAAATACGATCATTTATTGTCTATCTAGTTGGACGACCTAGTGATCTTGTTGTCTGGCAACCTATCTTATTTATTCTGTAACATTATGATGTTTATTTCAGTTGAATCATAAACGAGAATTAAGTAATTATTGTGAATATATCAAGGAACAGTGTCGGATGCTTCATAGTGATCGATGTAAGGTATGTATATGTTGTCATGGTTACAGTCTATGATAGTTATACCGTCCCATCCGAACGACTATACTTTGTTCCTTGCCCTCCGTCCTGCACCACTGACAAGTGGGAACCACACAAAAAAATCTTGGTCCTCCACTGGGTTAGCGAGCCAACATCTTATTCATTGAGCCAACATGGCTCCCGTCTGGCAAGGAACATCATCTAGTTATTTGTATGGGGAGAAAAACTGGAGTTCAGCTATCTACTCATTGGCGTGCATGTAAAAGAGAGAGAGAAAGAGAGAGAGAGAGAGATAGAGAGAGAAATGGGTTTAACGTCCACTCGACACAAACTAGGTCATTTCGGGACTAACTTATTGTTTTATTTTATTTCCATAATTCGCTTGCCCGTAGGGGTCTTTAGCAGTGGGAGGAAACCGGAGGACCCGGAGAAAACCCACGAGTTTGGACAGGCGACCCTACTCCTTGCCACATACAACCGGGGATTTGAAACCACGCCAGTCGACTTAATGACAGACTTTATGATACAGCGCGCACGCTAACCATTCGGCCATCCCCCACCCCCCCCCCCCCGCATGTAAAAGCACCCTTGATGGAATGATATGTAGGTGAAAAAGCTGCACACTGTATAGCGTATCCCCATCTCAGAAACACCATTTTATTTTGTTTCTGTTGTTATATATTTCAGGTAACGGATACCCAACCCCCACCAGTCCCATATAGATATCAAACCCCGAAAGGTCTAGAAATAGATCTTCGATTATTTAACAAAGGTAAGTTCCTTAAAATATATTTTATAGATTGTTTCATTATTTGTAGGGCAGGGTAGATCATTTCATCATTTCGTTCGTTCAACCATAGCTAGATGTTACACAGCAAAATTGGTCTCAACAAATTATATTTGATATTTCAAATAGAGGCCTGTGCAGTAATAATGGAGCTTTACCTCCAATCTTGTACCGTACTCCTCGCAGTGTTTCGTTTGATTAGAGCTAATCTCACTACTCACTGCTGTAAAGAAAGCAAATTTCTGTTCCAAATTATGACTGGTCAATAGTCCGATTAACAACCAATAGCTAACTGCGTAACAATATCGTTACATTTTAAACAAATCTCGAAATTGGACCAAATATGTTTACATAACGTTACGTCATCACTCACAATTTTATTATGCCCAATTAACCAGTGCATAGCAGAATCTTGCAGAAAAACTAATGGCGTGACAAATGAGGCTATCAATTGAACACAATGTAAACAATACTGTATGGAGACAAAGAATACCTTAAATCACTGTCCAAAGTTTTAGGGAAGACCTCAGATTAAATGAAGGGCTGTCATTTTGATGTACTTGGGATATATTTGATTAAACGGGAAGAATAGACACATTCCCTTAAAAGCTCAAGTATCAGAAGCCAATCCAGCAATGGCCAGAGATAGATTTCTCGGACCTTTGCTTCAGGAATATGGTCTTATACCATTAATTAGTGTTATTCTTCTTTTTTAAAATGTTTTTATTTTGTTAACGTTATAAAAATTGATATTTTAAAAAATATTTTAGATTTGATCAACAATTGTCTACCGATTCTCAGTAATATCTTAGACAAGGAAGCGAAAGGTTGGCATGTACAGTTCCGTCAAAAATGTCTTCAAGAATTTAAAGGTATTAATTCATTTTTTCTCTTAAACACGTTTTAGCATACACTTGTGCTTTACAGGGCAGACAAGGTAGGTGAGCCAGAAGGAGAGTAGACCAATGATGCTGTTTGGGCAAGGGAGATTGAAACTGCGAATGGTTAGCTCGTGTGCGTTGTATCATAAGGTCTGTCATTGAGTCAACTGGCGTGGTTTTGATTTCCCAGCTGTACGTGACAAGGAGTAAGGTTGCCTGTCCAACTTCGGTTTCCTCCCACTGCTAAAAGACCACTATGCGCAAGCGAATGATTGAAATAAAATTGAACCATATGTTAGTCTCGAAATGTTAGTCGGCAAAATTATCCCACCCCACATTACACAGATAAGAAATAACCATATGTTAGTCCCAATGACTGAAATATTGTGTTGTTGATATAATAACCATATGTTAGTCTCAAAATGACCAGAGTATTGTGTTGGTGAGACATATGTTAGTCCCAATGACTGAAATATTGTGTTGGTGATACATTAAACCCCAGGTCGGATGTTCGATCCCTGCATTGGCTGAGAAAGTTCATCCAGATTTTCCGGCGTGGTTCCCCCTTGTCAGTGATGCAGGATGGAGGGCCTGACAAAGGACAGTTGTCTAGTCGTTCAGATGGGACGGAAAACCGAGGTCCTGTGTACACATTGACGTGCACGGTAAAAGATCCCTTGACAGTTGGAATTCGATATAAGAGTAGGCCATAGTGCTGCTGCCCGGGCAAAATTTCCCTCATAGCACACTGTATGGCGTATGCCCATCTTCATTAGCCCAGCATAGGAGCAGAACAGTAGGACGTTAAACCCCATTTCATTTCATTTATTTCCATTTCACTCCATTGTAAAAATGGTTGTTAAACATGGTTTTTGGATCTAATATTGATATTCATGGTTACTGTGTGCCTTTATTGTAATTAATAGAAGTCCCTGCAGTCTCCAACATGATTGTCTATTAAAACTCTCAAACTCCTAAATTGAAATCCCCATAGTCCATGATTGTCCATTAATACTAAAGAACACTCAAACTGAATTCTCTACAGTCCCTCCATGATGATCCAGTAAAACTAATAAACGCTCAAACTGAAATCCCTACTGTCTCTAATGATCGTCTGTTAAACCTAGATTCAGTCACTCCATATATTTTTTGATTTGTTGTTTTTTCAGATAAAACAATATCTACAGAAGAAATGAATGAGGTAAATTAGATTCACAGAAAACAAACAATTCCTCTCATAGATGATTTTATTTACTGTTGATCAATGAGCACTGTGGTTGAATCAGGAGCGGATAACTCTACTGTCAACAGGGGGGGTGGATGGCCGAATGGTTAGCGTGTGCGTGCTGTATGATAAGGTCTGTCATTGAGTCAATTTTTGTTCAATAATTTGCTTGTGTAGGGCTCTTTAGTAGTGGGAGGAAACCGGAGGAGCCGGTGAAAACCCACGAGGTTGGATGTCAAACCACATTTCTCTCTTTTTTCTCTGTTTGCTAATTAGAAATTTTTCAGATTTGGAATTTAAAGTCTCCACAGAAATGAGTTTGACTTAGTTTTTGGTACACAAGGGTGTGGAGTTCTTTTTAATTATCAATTTTAATCTTAAGCATCGATCATATTGTTTTTTATACAGAAAATAAATGAAGCCGTTATGCAGGAATATTTACGAAGAATTTATCAGGCTATTTTAAGTAACGCCGAGTTAGATACTCTTCAACCTGGTATAGGTAATCTTTTATTCTCGTAACATAAACATGGGCAAAATATTACAACCTTTCTAATTACTCCATGTTAATTTAAAGTTGGCTCTTATCTGTGTATGGGTGGGTGGGAAGCTCTTCTCAAAAACCCAATCTGATTAAAATACAGATCTATATTTCGTTTTGTTTTTTATACTTTCGATGGCCTCTACTACATGAAGATCTGACCCGTTGTAAATGGATGGATATTAATAGTTTTGAGATATTGATTGAATGGAAGAATTTTATGATATTTTGTTTTTCAGGAGAATTATTAGTGTCCCAGGCCCAGACTGTGATAACCTTACGTAAAGCAGTAGAAAGTCTACAACATAATATGCAGAAACATAAAGAACAGGTTCGGAACTAACGTCAGACTTCCTTCTTTCATATTTTAAAAAATTATTGTCAGTATTTCTGGCTATTATTACCCAACTAGCTAAATTACCCGGAGGCATGGTGGCTAAGTGGGTAAGATGCTAGATTGCTAGCCTGGAGGTCACGTGTTCGATCCCTACATTGCCCGGCCAAATTTCCTTCATAGCACTCTGTATTCCAGTCTTCATTAGCACAGTCGGAGCAGATTAGTAGGACATTAGACCCCATTTCATTTCATTTCATCTAGGTCATCAAGATCCAATTCTAGATAGTACATTGCTGAACTTTCGCTTCAAAATGTTGCCAGTTGATTGATTGTGGTCATATTTTCTTTACTTCCGTAAGCAAAATATTATTTTCAAAGAATATGACCATTTTTAGCATTATCCAAATTTCATTGTATATCTTTAAGTATTTTTACACAGAAAAACTGTAAATTTAACAGTATTGTGTTCTAAGGTTAAAATCTTTGATGTTCTAATTTTATTGTCTGTAAATTGACTGACAGGTTACACTGGACACAAGTACAAATTTGATGATTTTGGGGGATTTTAAATGATTTTTACGAATTTTTAAACAAAGATTTGATATTAAATGAATGAAATCTCTGTTACATGGAATGAAATCTCTGTTACACTGAATAAGTCGACTGTAAAGTTAAAGTCTTTCTTTAATTATTTATGGTAAAGTAGTTTATTTAGAATATAAAAATATTTCAGTTAATAAAACATTTGAAGAAGCAATATCCTGTTAAATCACGAATCAGAGCGTGGATGAATGAACAATTAGATTGTTTTGAGGTAAGTAATCGTGTTTAAATTATTAGTGGCTCAGAGATTGAAGCCCTGACTCAATAACCAGGAGGTCCTGTGTTCGAACCCAGTGTTGGCTGAAAATGTTCCGGTGGATTATCTACCTTGTTTTCCTTTTGTCAACGGTTTCGGAGAGAGAGAGAGAAATGGGGGTTAACATCCACTCAACACAAGCTAGGTCATTTCGGGACTAACACATGGTTCAATTTTATTTCACTAATTCGCTTGCGCGTAGGAGTCTTTAGCAGTGGGAGGAATCCGGAGGACCCGGAGAAAACCCACGAGGTTGGACAGGCGTACCCTACTCCTTGTCACGTACAACCGGGAAATCGAAACCACGCCAGTTGACTCAATGACAGACCGTATGATACAGCGCAGCGCGCACATGCTAACCATTCGGCCATCCAACCCCCCTCATCGGTTTTGGTAGGAGGGACATGATAAGGAACAGCATCTAGTTGTACAGTTGGGACAAAAAATCAAGGTTCCATGTGTGCACACAAGTCTTGATAATTGGGATTCAAAGAATAAGAAACTGTAGTGCTAATATCTAGGCAAATTATTCCTCATACTGCACTGCATGGCATATACTCATTTTCATTAGCAGGGAGTTGTGCAGAAATTAGACTGCTACTGTCATGATGAACTAAAAACTGATATTTGCAAATGATATTTTGGTTTGATTTTGTTAAAAGTTAAATAATGAATAACTTAAACATACATTCAATCTGCCTATTGCAGGTCTTTCTTTAGGCCTAAAATAATAAATAAATTATTAATTTAGACATTGATTAACTGATCCAGGCCATAATCAGCTAAAAATGGAGGAGCGAGACTTAGCTTCGAACAACCAGTTGAAATTATTGCACACGTCTTGTCAAACTTTTAAAGGCTAATATCTTCGCTCGCAATATAGTAATTTCAATGAAATTTTCAAATTATTCATTTTATAGTATCTATTTTCGAAGTTTTATAGCAAGAATGCCTAGAACTTTATCTAAATCTTACATAATGCATCTTTAAGTCTTAAAAAAATAAGATATTGTTTGAAAATTACCTGATTAGGATTGGCGATTTTGAAATATGTTAATTCCGTTTAATGAATGTTTTTTATGTTTCTATAGGAGGAGTTTATTAGTCAGAATTTATGGTCAGCTCATGAGGAAGCCATTAGTTTATGTGAAGAACAAGATCTTCAACAAGCTGTGTATTTCCTTCGTAGAGATATTAACTTTATAAAAGAGGTAAGAAAATAGCAATCGTTTTTATTCTCTTTTTATAATCCACTTGTTGGGCGTAACACGTCGGGTGTGACTTGTTAAGAGTAAGGTAACGGTTGTAATTTGTCGTTTGTAACATGTAGGGTGTAACGTGTAGGTCGTAGTCTGTCGGGTGTAGCTCGTCATCTGTAACATGTAGGGTGTAACCTGTTGGGTGTAACAGTTAGGGCCTAGCGTGTAAGGCAAACCTCTTGGATGTAATATGTCAGGGGTTATTATATCAGGCGTAACATATCAGGTATGTCTTGTCGGGTATAACATGCAGGGCATAACGTCTAGTTGAAATGTGTCTTGTCGGAGGTAGCCCTGTTGCTTGGGCAAAATTTCGCTTACAGAATACTGCATGACGTATGCCAGTTTTCATTAGCCAGGTTGGGGCAGGAAATTAAGTTGTTGTTGTTAATGTTTAACATCCGCTTCCACCGAAGGTGATATCGCAGACAAGTTGTCTTATTTTAATTATCTTAGCGCACGCGCAGGGGTCTTTCCTGTGGGAGGAAACCGGAGTACTCGGAGTAAACCCACAAGGTTGAGAAGGCTCCCATATTTCCAAGCCACATACGCTCACACTAAGGATTGAAACCACAGCCGCAAGCCAGGGGTGACTGGCCAGCTAGAGGTCGAGGCGCTGCACTCTAGACCACTAGGCCATCCCAACCCCCCAGGAAATTAAGATGGTGAACCCTTATATCATTTTTTATTATATATTTTTATCGTTTCAGAGAGAATCAGTTTTATTGAAAGAGTTAGGACGGGTGAAGCAACCTACTCGTATTTTTACTTTCTCCACAAGAATCTGGTTCCCGCATAATTATATTATAAAACGTTATTATCGTGGTGAAACCGTTGTCATACCAACTATATTTAAAGATGCTCCACTTGGTATAACAGCGGAGAAAGACATAGTTATTAGAAAAGAGGTAGGTGTTTTGGAAATTTAGTGAAAGTTGAAGTTAGACATTCAGTGAAATGAGATTACACATTCAATCAAATGGGATTAAACATTCAATCAAATGGGATTAAACATTCAATCAAATAGGATTAAACATTCAGTAAAATGGGATTAAAATTCAATCAAATGGGATTAAACATTCAGTAAAATGGGATTAAACATTCAGTCAAATGGAGTTACACATTTCTGTCTAAGCTGTGTATCTGTACGCCAATTAGAACTGTTCTGGGTATCATGTGTCCAAATGTTGTATCTTGATTTGTAGAAATTTTGAAATGCAAAAGGTTCTATTTCTTAATCTTTAGAAATTCTTAGATACACCCTTTTGGCACTTCACCGACGTTATGCAGTCTTAATGTTAGATATTTGATTGTCAGTCTGTTTGAATTGGTGGACTTGCAATTCGGTTATGTACAATTGAATAATATCACAGTTTTACCAGCCCCGAAAACAAATGTGGCATGAACAGAATCGTGACAAATCAGCTGTGATTGACCGAGATGGTATCTGTTCGCAAAGCCTTATATATTGTAGTTTAAATTTCCATTAATCTAATACCACAGTTTTACCAGCCCCGAAAACAAATGTGGCATGAACAGAATCGTGACAAATCAGCTGTGATTGACCGAGATGGTATCTGTTCGCAAAGCCTTATATATTGTAGTTTAAATTTCCATTAATCTAATACCACAGTTTTACCAGCCCCGAAAACAAATGTGGCATGAATAGAATCGTGACAAATCACCTGTGATTGACCGAGATGGTATTTGTTCGCAAAGCCTTATATATTGTAGTTTAAATTTCCATTAAACTAATACCACAGTTTTACCAGCCCCGAAAACAAATGTGGCATGAACAGAATCGTTACAAATCAGCTATGATTGGTCGGGATAGTATTTGTTCGCAAAGCCTTATATATTGTAGTTTAAATTTCCATTAAACTAATACCACAGTTTTACCAGCCCCGAAAACAAATGTTGCATGAACAGAATCGTTACAAATCAGCTATGATTGGTCGGGATAGTATTTATTCGCAAAGTCTTATATATTGTAGTTTAAATTTCCGTGTATATTTTTAGGTTCCTCGATTTGATGTGGAGAAATACAAGGATCATAAAACAACAACTCGACATCCATTCTGGAGATGGTGGAATTTTTTACAGAGATCATGGACGTGGATTTGGAATTCCATGTTTTTCTTTGGTGTAAGTTTGTAAAAAGGCTTATATATTTCAGTTCCAAATGGCTCAAGAAAAACAACCATATTCATTTCAAGTTGTTTATATGTGGCCGAGAAAGTTTATAGGGATTTTCCGGCGGGGTGTAGGACGGAGGGCCTGACAAGGGACATCATATAGTAGTTCGGATGGGACACATTGGCGTGCACATAAAATATCCCTTGGAATTCGAAATAAGAGTAGGCCGTAGCGCCGTTGTCCGGGCAAAATTTTCCTTCATAGCAAACTATATGGCATATGCCCGTCTTCATTAGCCCAGTCGGAGCAGAACAGTAGGACGTTAAACCCTATTTCATATTTTTTCTAGATTGTATTGTAATACGTTTTGTTTTGGTTTGTGTTACCCTACAGGTTGTGATACCATGGTGCAGTCCTGTTAGTCTCCGAGCTTTATTCTTTCCTACGGCTTTTATGCCTGATTATCAACTTTCTCAATCTAATGTAAGTATTATAAAGTATAGTGAGGGGTTGGATGGCTGAATGGTGTGGTTTCAATTCCCCGTTTGTACAAGACAAGGAGTAGGGTCGGGTGTCCAACCTTGTGGGCTGGGTTAGAAGGTTTAATGGTTAGCATGTGCACGCTATATCATAAGGTCTGTAATTGACTCATCTGGCGTGGTTTTGATTCCCCGGTTGTATGTGTCAAGGAGTAGGGTTACCTGTCCAACTTCATGGGTTTTCTCTGGGTCCTCTGGTTTCTTCCCACTGCTAAAGAACCCTATGCACAAGCGAATTATTGAAATAAAATTGAACCATATGTTAGTCCCGAAAATGACCTAGTTTGTTTCAAGTGGATGTTAAACCCCATTTCTCCCTCTCTCTATAAAGTATGGTATGAGCAGTGACTCAGTGACTGAGGCGCTGGATTAATCGCTGAAGGTCGCGGGTTTCATCCTGGTATTGGTCCAGAAAGGTGGAACAGGCCTGACAAAGAAACAGTGGCTAGTTATTCGGATAGTGCGACAAATCAAAGTTGGTTTGACTTGCACATAAAGGAACTCTTGACATTTGAGTTGTTTTATGTGGACGTCGAGGCAACTTTGGTTTTTGACAAGCTGGGTTGGGTGGCCGAATGGTGAATGTGTGCGCGTTTGATCAGAAGGTCTGTCATTGAGTTAAGTGGCGTGGTTTTGATATTTCTTGTTACCGTTTTTATGTGTAATTTATTTTTTCAGGGTGCTCTTCATCCAAAAGAATCGTCTCGTACACAGACTCTAGTCTCTAGGTTACAGTTGTTATGGCAACATGTTCGTCAATCTAGAAAACAGTTTGAAGAAGCACCTGATACAGGTAAGTCAGTAAATTAATACTTTGATCAAATCTACTAATCAGGGGAGTGGTTGGCTGAATGGTTAGCACGTGCGTGCTGTATCATAAGGTCTGTCATTGAGTAAACTGGTGTGGTTTCGATTCCCCGGTTGTACGTGACAAGGAGTATGTTCACCTGTCCAACCTCGTGGGTTTTCTCCGGGCCCTCTTGTTTCCTCCCACTGCTAAAGACCCCTACGTGCAAGCGAATTATTGAAATAAAATTGAACAATATGTTAGTCCCGAAATGTCTCAGTTTGTGCCAATAAAAGTATGGCAATTTTGGTATATATGGAAAGTAGAAACATCCAATCTTACTAGAAAAATACTGGATTCCCTGAAAAACACCCATGTAAGGGTTTCTCTAACCGGCAACGATTAGGGATGTCTGCTCGAGTGATTTGAAGCAAAATTTTGCTAGATTAATTAGTTTGAATATGTTTTTAGTCCAAATATATCATCAAATCACACAGTTTGTACGTGGGAAGTTAAAATTGCCTTCGTTCTGCACATTTACTTGGGCATCACCAAACTTCTGGACGCCCCTGACTTTGCAGCCTGGTTTGCGTTTGGTCGTTTAAACCTATGCCATAAATATATTTCCACCTAATCTCTGAAGGTGGCCTGTGGTATGCAGCCCTTAAATATATATTTCCACCTAATCTCTGACGGTGGCCTGTGGTATGCTGGCCCTAAATCCCATGCCTTAAACCGTTTGACCCTGATAGAGATTTTTATTTACAGGTTTTCTAGGAAAGAGTTTATCTCGTCATATAAATCGTTGTTGGAATTATGGTATTAAAGGTGGTCTGGGTAGTTTATTACTGGTAACTTTCTTCCCGATCATATCTCTAACAACATCCACGTTATCATTACTACTAGCTGTAACATGTCCTTTATGGTAAGTACTGGTATATTCTAGTCTATAGTCTCTGTCTGCCCAGTCATATCTCTTACAACATCTACGTTATCATTACTACTAACTGTTACATGTCCTTTATAAAGTACTAGTATATTCTAGTCTATAGTCCCTAATATCATTACTACTAGCTGTTAATGATATATGTCGCCGCCCATCTCTGTTCGTCTGGACGTGCGTTCACATTTGTTTGTGGACACAATTTTTATCCAATTTTAATCAAACTTAAAATATATCTTTATATCCCAAAGATCTTGAATAAGTTTGATAATTTCTGCCTTTTACGCAAAACGGGAAATATATCCGAAGTTTGTGGACCCACAGAGCCTCCTTTCCTTCCACAGCCCCTTTTCTGTCCACACAACCCCTTTTCTGTCCACACAACCACTTCTTCTTCCACACAACCACTTTTCCTTCCACACAACCACCAAGTTTCACACAAGCACTTTTCCTTCCACACAACCACTTTTCCTTCCACACAACCGCCACTTACCACACAACCGCTTTTCCTTCCATACAACCACTTTTACTTCCACACAACCACTTTTCGTTCCACAACCCTCTTCCCTCCTCCTTCTTATTTCTCTATTTTCCCACATTTCCCTCCCATGTGTAAGCCGGTTGTATTATTATATTTTTTTATATTTTCAGGGTTCCTCTAGTCACATTAATTGCTCATCTTGGTTTTATTTTATTTTATGATGTTGATTGCCCAGGTAAACATCTATTATTGTCTTGGTATCTGATTCCAACTCACTTATAACATTCTAGCAAGTGTCCTTAATCTCGTTCAAACTTGCATATAACATTCTAGCAAGTGCCGTTAACCTCGTTCAAACTTGCCTATAATATTCTAGCAGGTGCCGTTAACCTCGTTCTAACTTGCCTATAATATTCTAGCAGGTGCTGTTAATTTCGTTCTAACTTGCCTAAACATTCTGGTAGGTGCTCTTGTAAAGGTGGAACCTTGGTGGTTCTGTGGGTGAGATGTTGGCTCACTGAACTGGAGGTCGCATGTTCGATCCTGGTGTTGGCCTTGAAAGTTCATCGGGATTTTCCGGCATGGTTCCTACCTGTCAGTGGTGCAGAACAGAGGGCCTGGCAAAGGACAATGTGTAGTCATTCGGATGGAACAAAAAACGGAGGGCCTGTGTACACATTGGTGTGCACGTAAAAGATACCTTGACAGTCCGGCCAAAATTTCCCTCATAGTATGGTGTATGCCCATCTTCATTAGCCCAGTTGGAGCAGAACAGTAGGACATTAAACCCCATTTCATTTCATTTCATTTTCTTATAGAGGTTCTATTGCATTTTGTTTTAATCACCAATGAATCTGCCTGAAATATTGACAGACGTTAATTTATCAAAATAAAAGTTTTATTAATTTGAATTTTCCATGCTAAAATATTAGACCACTCAGAGCGTGATTTGAGCGATAAGGAAAAGGGTCGCCTGTCCAACCTCGTGGGTTTTCTCTGGGTCCTCTGATTTCCTCCCACTGCTAAAAACCCAATACGTACAAGAGAATCATTGAAATAAAATTAAATCATATGATAGTCCCGAAATGACCTAGTCTGTGTCTAGTGGACGTTAAACCCCATTTCTCTCTCTCTCAATTAAATCTTAAAGCCTCAAGAAATTTTATATTTTCCGAAAAATGTATGAATTACTTGCAGTTAATTTAAGTTTTATTTGGACTAATTTTCTTTGTGTTTGTATTATTTCAGATGAGAACAGAGAAAATCGTTTTTTCTGCCTGTTTGAAGTGATAATATGGAGAATATTTCTACAAGGTTGTGTGCAGCCAATTGCAGCGTTCCTTACAGGAGCTGTCTGTTGTCCATTGGCTGCTTTTTTTGTGATGTTTTGTAAGTGATTTGTTTTATGTTTGAATTTGTCTCCAACCTCGAGTGTTTTCTCCGGGTCCTTCGATTTCCTCCCACTCTCAAAGACCCCCAAGCGCAAGCGAATTATTGAAATAAAATTGAACAATATGTTAGTCCCAAAATGACCAAGTTTGTGTCGAGTGGACGTTAAACCCCATTTCTCTCTCTCTCTCTCTCGCTGATGTGGAAGGTGTGACTTGTTCAGATAGGAAGGTCAACCCAAGTCCACCTCATGTGCACATTGGCATGACCCAGTGAACATGATGAAAGACCCTGTTACAGTTGAAAATCGGAGATCATTTGGAAAAGTCACTGCCTGGGGAAAATCATGCATTACGCGCTTAATTATAGAAATGAAAATTACAATACAGTTGAGGAAACATTAAGTTCCTTTCCATTATCTATTAAATAAAAACTGAATTTTATCAATTAATATTTCAACATCACCTCTTAAAATTCTGTCAAATCCACACATTTAATAATTGAGATTATTCCCCTTTAAATTATATTAAATAGTTGGTGTGATGAGGAGAGCAGGAAGAGGATTATGGGATACATTGATGTTCCAGACCATTATAAAGAGTCGAGGACGAGTTCCGGCTAGAGATGGTTTCATAGCACGGAGAATCTCTGGGCCGGGATTGGCCTCAAATTATTTTTTCCAGGCAAGTAATGACATTGTATAATATTTCCGTGTGAGATGACAAGCTGAGAGGACAAAGCAGATTTTTCATTTGTTACTAGTCACTATGATTACCGGTTTGTTACTAGTCACTATGATTACCGGTTTGTTACTAGTCACTATGATTACCGGTTTGTTACTGGACACTATGACTACTGCTTTGTTACTAGTCACTATGATTACCGGTTTGTTACTAGTCACTATAATTACAGGTTTGTTACTAGTCACTATGATTACCGGTTTGTTACTAGTCACTATGATTACCAGTTTGTTACTAGTCACTATGATTACTGGTTTGTTACTAGTCACTATGATTACCGGTTTGTTACTAGTCACTATGATTACCGGTTTGTAACTAGTCACTATGATTAACGGTTTGTTACTAGTCACTATGATTACCGGTTTGTTACTATTTACTATGATTACCGGTTTGTTACTAGTCACTATGATTACCGGTTTGTTACTAGTCTCTATGATTATTGGTTTGTTACTAGTCACTATGATTACCGGTTTGTTACTGGACACTATGATTACCGGTTTGTTACTAGCCGCTATGATTACCGGTTTGTTACTGGTCACTATGATTACCAGTTTATTACTGGACACTATGATTACCGGTTTGTTACTTGTCACTATGATTACCAGTTTGTTACTGGTCACTATGATTACCGGTTTGTCACTATGATTACAGGTTTGTTACTGGACACTATGATTACCGGTTTGTTACTAGTCACTATGATTACCGGTTTGTTACTAGTCACTATGATTACCAGTTTGTTACTAGTCACTATGATTATTGGTTTGTTACTAGTCACTACGATTACCGGTTTGTTACTAGTCACTATAATTACAGGTTTGTTACTAGTCACTATAATTACAGGTTTGTTACTGGACACTATGATTACATGTTTGTTACTGGTCACTATGATTACCTGTTTGTTACTAGTCACTATGATTACCGGTTTGTTACTAGTCACTATGATTACCGGTTTGTTACTAGTCACTATGATTACCAGTTTGTTACTGGTCACTATGATTACCGGTTTGTTACTGGTCACTATTATAGGCTGTTCTAATATTTAAATTCCTGATTCAACAGAAGGGAGGGGTTGGATGGCCAAAAGGTTAGCGTGGGCGCGTTGTATCTTAATATCTGTCATTAAGTCAACTGGCGTGGTTTCGATTCCCTAGTTGTACATGGCAAGGAGTAGGGTCGTCTGTCCAAACTAATGGGTTTTCTCCGGGTCCTCCGGTTTCCTCTCAATGCTAAAGAAAAGAACTAAAGAACCCTTCGCGCAAGTGAATAATTGAAATAAAATTGAACCATATGTTAGCCCTGAAATGACCTAGTTTGTGTGGAGTGAATGTTAAACTCTCTCTCTCTCTCTCTTTCTCTCTCTCTCTATCTCTCTCTGATCCAACAGAGAGTTTATGTAATGACACGGGTGACTAGGCCTCAGTAATAACAATTTGACATTGGTCAATATGGTTACCGGCTTGCTGTGACCATTGCTATTCTAATAATAAAAAGAATGGGCCCAGCATTTCACCGGACCCCACTGTGTGTGTTGAAATGAAGAGCAGTTCCCAGATGAACCAGTGACTAAACCCCAAATAAATCAATGACTAGGCACCGTATAATGAAATGTTTAAACTGTTCAAATTTCACTTTAATTACTTGGCGCCATTGTTTCATATCAAGGGCTGCAAACAATCTGATTAAAATACAGATCTATATTTCGTTTCGTTTTTTTTATACTTTCGACGGCCTCTATTCTATGAAGATTTGACCAGTTGTATTGGAAGGTCGCGTCAGACCTTATGATGTCAGACATTTGATTAAACATGCATTATGCAAGAGCAAAATCTGCTTATTACAAGTCTTTCTTTAGTCCTGAAATGTTATCTAAATTATCAATTAAGACATTAATTAACTTATCCAGACCATAATAAACTCTCAATGTCAAGGCTAGCCTTCAATGTTGGCTGGATTAGATTCCTATATGCCGCTTAACGGCCATTGATAATTAAATCAAAACAGTGGATAATCGAGACTATGCTGTTTATATTAATGATTTTAGTAATGATGACCAAGACTATGCGAAAATTTCACTCGCTTCGTTCTCGGCTCATAGTGGATCAATTTGACTGAAATTTTCAGCAAATTACCTTTACACTATCTAGTTTTTAAGTATTATAGCGAGAACTGCCATCTCTTTATCTTATCTCCAATAATGTATCTTTAACCAATCAGCGTTGGTGTTTCTAGTAGGTTACCCACAGTTCCGTGCAACTCATGCCAAAAACTCGCCATAACAGACCGTTCCATTGGCTAATCCCTCACATCAACCAGAATTGGGTTTTATATCAACTCTTCCAGATCCTAGTGTTGTAAAGACAAGTAATACAAAATTTTGAACTAAAATAATGAAACAAAATAGTATCTGTGTTTAAATCAGATTACATTTACATAATAAAGCAAGATATCAAAGAACATACTTGATGAAATAAATAAATAAATAAATAAATTAGCCTTTTTAATTAAATATGTCTTTAGTTTAATTTTACAAGTAGCATCTCTTTTCATTTCAAATCAATACCAAAAAATAGCTGAATGGGATCTGTGATTGACTAATTTAAATGAATGAGTAAAAATTCTTCATTTCTTAATTATACATTTGTTTTTTTAGATTCGACCAGAACAGGCTCTAGCTGCTGTTGAAGCACATCTAGAGAAGGATGAACTCGATGCGTGGAAAGTTAATGTTTTGAAAATAATAGAACAGCCAAGAGAAGCTTATAAGTAAGTGGAGCATGCTTTATAGTAAACACAAAATATTGTAAGTATAAAAACACATAAACACCACAATAGCACATACACATCTGAACACTCAGAACCCATAAACATCTGAACACTCAGAACACAATAACACAAAAACATCTGAACACTCACAACACAATAACACAAAAACATTGGAACACTCACAACACAAAAACACATAAACATCTGAAAACTCACAACACCAAAACACATAAACATCTGAACACATACAACACAATAACACATAAACATCTGCACTCTCACTACACATAAACATATGAACACTCAGAACACAGTAACACATAAACATATAAACACTCAGAACACAGTAACACATAAACATCTGAACACAAAGACAGTAACACATAAACATATGAACACTCAGTACACAATAACACATAAACATATGAACACTCAGAACAAAATAACACATAAACATATGAACACTCAGAACACAGTAACACATAAACATCTGAACACTTACAACACAGTAACATGTATACATCTCAACACAATAACACATAAACATCTCAACACAATAACACATAAACATCTCAACACAATAACACATACGATCATAAATATTACAACACATAAACACAGACGCCTGAATAATCCTTGTATTTCTGTAACAATGTTTCATTGGTTTCGATTTTTATCTATGACTTTGATGGGTGTAATCAAGTAAATTGATGTAATCAGTGACTTTGATGTAATCAATTACTTTGAATGATGTAATCAGTTGCTTGTATTCATGAAATAGATGACTTTGATTAGTGTATTTAACTAATTAATTGCTGTTGGTTATTTTATTGTTGTGTTTTGAGGGGTGTTATGTTTGGCTATACCAGAGTGTGACATAAATACACCTAGTGACATAATATTGGGTATTATTAGATTATGATATAAATACACCTAATAACATTTATTGGGTATTATCAGAGTGTCATATGAATACACCTAGTAACATTTATTGGGTATTATTAGAGTATGACATAAATACACCTTGTAACATTTATTTGGTATTATTAGGGTGTGACATAAATACACCTAGTAACATTTATTGGGTATTATTAATTTTAAATACACCTAATAACATTTATTTGGTATTATTAATTTTAAATACACCTAGTAACATTTATTGAGTATTATCAGAGTATGATATAAATGCACCTAGTAACATTTATTGGGTATTATTAGGTTTAAATACACCCAGTAACATTTATTGGGTATTATTAGAGTATGATATAATTACACCTAATAACATTTATTGGGTATTATTAGAGTATGATATAAATGCACCTAATAACATTTATTGGGTATTATTAGTTTTAAAATACACCCAGTAACATTTATTGGGTATTATTAGTTTTAAAATACACCCAGTAACATTTATTGGGTATTATTAGTTTTGAATACACCTAGCAACATTTATTGTGTATTATTAGGATTAAATGCACCTAATAACATTTATTGGGTATTATTAGAGTATGATATAAATGCACCTAATAACATTTATTGGGTATTATTAAGATTAAATGCACGTAGTAACATTTATTGGGTATTATTAGAATGTGATATAAATGCACTCAGTAACATTGATATTTTTATGAAAAAGAAGAAGCATATTATATTCCAGGTTATTCCCCATCATTCATCATTATGATGATGTTTAGGCCAAAATTATTCACTTTTAGTTTTTCTAGGTCTCAATAAATAAATATGTAAATATATCTTCGAAGTTTTCAATTAAAGAAACCAAGTATTTGGGGGAGTGGGGGGGGGGGGAATGTTTTGTTTGCTTATAAATTTTTTCCTGAAAAATAAGAAGCAAAATTTGAATAGGTATTCCCTATTTTCAATTAAAGAAACAAAGTATTTTATTGGGAGGGGGGGGGACGGTAATGTTTTGTTTTCTAATAAATTTTTTCCTGAAAAAAAAAGAAGCAAAATTCAAATAGACATTCCTGAAGAACAAAGGTTCAGATTGACTTGCCACTTGGTCCTGTTGAAAAAATAAGTTTTATTTATATTTTCAAAAATTAAAGACTTGAACTAAAGAGCTTTTGAGCAATGCAACCAAATATTTTGTTTTTAAATAAATTTTCTATTTTCTGTTTTTTAAATATTTTAAATAAATTTTCTATTTCCTGTTTTTTAATTATTATTATTTTTTTTTTTTAATTATATGTTTTTTCTGTTCTTAAAGAAGTTTTCATTTTTTGTTTTATCAAATTTTTGTTTAAGATAAATCTTTTCCCTAAGAAATAGGAATCAAATTTTGAATAGGTATTCCCAACGAACACAAGTTCAGATTATTGTGGCCTACTTAAAATAGTTATAACGACTATACCAGAATTATCTGATTATTACCCCATGCTGAGTTTTTATTTATCGCGATCTATTCACCCAATGGTAATCCTATTTAACGCATGAAAATAGCCTTGAACAACACAGATCAGGTGATCAAGTTGTCATATTTTTTATCGCCTCGTAACTCTATATACCCTTGTCTTGTCGAGTACAAGGGAGTAAAGTAATACAATGTTGGCAGCATGAGATGAATTCTTATGTGTTTTTTTTATCTCAATTACTTCAACAGGTGAATTTCTGTCTGCTATGTTAAAAAATGGAGTTGTCTCTCTTTTTATATTGGGAGTTGGATTGAATGAATAAATGAGATGGGATTTAACGTCCTACTGTTAGAGTGCCCCACCATAAATAAATATCTCCAAATATCTTGACAATTACACCAATATTTATATATATACCAAACCTTAAATCAGTTTTGCACATTTATAGTCACTAAATGGTCATGTTATACTTAATAAGCTATGACCATTTAATCATTCATAGAGTGCCCCACCATAAATAAAAACCTTAAATCAGTTTCGCACATTTATAGTCACTAAATAAACGGCCATGTTGTACTTAATAGGCTATTATCATTTAACCATCCATAGGGTGCCCCACCATAAATGAATATCTCCAAATATCTTGACAATTACACCACAATATTTATATGTATACCAACACCCATCTGCATTAGCCCAGTTGAGAGCAGAACAGTAGGACGTTAAACCGCATTTCGCCTGATAGCCTGGAGGTCGGGTGTTCGATCCCTGCATTGGCCGAGAAAGATCATTCAGATTGTCCGGCGTGGTTTCCCCTTGTAAGTGATGCAGGATGGAGGGCCTGACAAGGACAGCTGTCTAGTCGTTCGGATGGAACGAAGAACTGAGGTCCCGTGTACACATTGGCGTGCACGTAAAAGATCCCTTGGCAGTTGGAATTCGATATAAGAGTAGGCCGTAGCGCCTCTGCCCGGGCAAAATTTCCCTCATAGCACACTGTATGGCGTATGCCCATCTTCATTAGCCCAGGTTAAGAGCAGAACAGTAGGACGTTAAACCCTCATTTCATTTCATTTCATTTCGGTTTAACACATGCATGTTAGATCCTATGGTCTGTCATTGATTGTGGGGTGGATGGCCGAATGGTTAGCACGCGCGCGCTGTACCATACGGTCTGTCATTGAGTTAACTGGCGGGGTTTCGATTCCCCGGTTGTACGTGACAAGGAGAAGGGTCGCCTGTCCAACCTCGTGGGTTTTCTCCGGGTCCTCCAGTTTCCTCCCACCGCTAAAGACCCCTACGCGCAAGCGAATTATTGAAATAAAAAAATTAAACCATATGTTAGTCCCGAAATGACCTAGTTTGTGTCGAGTGGACCTTAAACCCCATTTCTCTCTCTCTCTCTCTGTCATTGATTCAAGTGGCATGGTTTCGATTTCCCACGTGAACATGACAAGGAGTCAGATTGCCTGTCCAACCTCGTGGGTTTTCTCCAGTTTCCTCCTACAGACCATATGTTAGTCCTGAAATGACCTAGTTTGTGTCAAGTAGTCATTCAAACCTCATTTCTCCCTCACTGTATTTCTGTGTAAGAATATTAAACAACAGAATCTGTCAAAATTTGACCGTCTGTTAAAATGTTGAAATGGAAGCCCTACTGTGTAGGGGAGCCACAGTGGCTAAGTGGGTAGGATGCTGACTCACTAGCCTGGAGGTCGCATGTTCGATCCCTGCATTGGCAGAGAAAGTTCATCGCGATTTTCCAGTTTGGTTTGCACTTGTCAGTGGTGCAGGATGGAAAGCCTGACAAGGACAGCTGTCTAGTCGTTCGGATGGGATGAAAAACCGAGGTCCCGTGTATACATTGGCGGCACCTAAAAGATCCCTTGGCAGTTGGAATTCGATATAAGAGTAGACCACAGTACTACTGCCCGGGCAAAATTTACCTCATAACACATTGTTTCGCATATGCTCATCTTCATAAGGCCCAATTGGAGCGAAACAGTAGGATGTGAAACCCCTTTTTATTTCCTACCGTGTAGAGTGTGTAGGCAGACGTACAAGTATTCAGTGCAGTAGGACATTAAACCCCATTTCATTACATTTCTTACTGGTGTAGAGAGTGTAGGTAGATGTACAATCATTCAGTGCAGTAGGTAAAAGAGTAAAACCATCTGTTCTTTCATTACAAAAACATCTTAATACAAGTTTTACGCTTCATTATACTTGAAAGACATGAGATCAGTATCCAGGTATTTCAGACATCGTGTAGGTGTTGTTACAATTAACCTAATGTTTTTAAAACGGCTGTGTATATATTGAATTAGTGCTATCTTCAGTGCCGTGATAATCTGAGCAAGCCAAGCAGAGACAATTGGGCTATTATTACGCATTTCATTATGAATACTTTTTAAATATTAGGTATCAGATTCAACCAAAAGAATGTCAGAAATCAAACAAATATTATCAATATTTATATCGTCCACCACTATCCCCCAACAGATGAAGCAGAATGGAAGGATGTTAAACACCATTTCATTTCATATCCCCCGATCAAACACTCCTTAATAGTAATCTTTTTGCTAAAGGGCCTTTCATTTTCATAAATTTCTACTTTCTTTTTCAATA